CAAGACAGCACTCAGTTTCAGATGTCTTTTTGATTTGTAGTTCTAGTTTGCACCTGACCCCCAGCTGCAAGTTTGCCTTTAAACAATTCTGAAACCTTATAATAATTCCGCTCCTCAGGTTAATCTAACTGGAATTAGTTGCTGCTGCTTTCAGCTAATACACAGGAAATACTGAGCCTGGTGCCATCTGGGCTTAACCGCATCAAGATGTAAGAGCTCCGCCCCATTTGTAGACACACCAGGTTCACAAATGGAGCCTTCTGAAGACTCAAGGTTGATATTTACATTCACAAAGTTTGTATTTACATTGTTCTTTTTTTGCTGGTGGTAGGGGTGAGGGGCCCTTCATGGCTCCCTGCAGGAGAGGAAGGGAAGACCAAAGTGTTTCAATGCCCTTATGCAGACAACGATCCTTAGCATCAGTCTCTGCGATCAAAGGTGCAGCTCTTTGCAGGATAATCTTTCCTGTAGAAGACTTCCAAGGGCCTCGGTTGAAACTGCTACTCTCAGGGTTTTCCCCCTGCAATTACAGAGACTTAGATGAGATAAAAATTCTCTAAACAATATTACTGTTGCTTGCAGCATCAAGCCTCAGATGGATGGGGGTGGGACGGGTGGGAAGAGATAAACCAAGGAACCTACATGCATATATGCACAACCAGTGGACCCAGCATTGGGTTGGGGAAAGCAGGAGGGGGTGGCAGCAGGGAGGAGGGCGTCCATGGGGAAAAGAAGGAAACATCTATAACACTTTCAATAAAAAAAAAAGACATTCCCTTTGACCGTGGGTCTTAAAAGTTTTAGTATGTTGTTCTTGGGTATGTTTTTCTTTGTAATTACCCTTCTTGTTTTCTCTGCAATTGTCGAATCTATGAATTGACATCTTTTTCAGCTTTTGAGACTCTTTAGTTAGTATCTCTAGAAATATTGCTTTTCCCTCTGTTCCTTTTATCCTTTTATCTTAGGACTCAATGTACACATAAGCAAGGGCCATTTCATTATGGCTGAAATGTCCCTTATATTTTTTCTTAATGCTGAATTATTTTTATCTCTGTAGAGAGTAGATGTTTTCTACTCTTCTATTTCCAGCTCAGCAGTCTTCTCTTACTACATGTCCAAAGCGACTGTTAAATCCAATTTTTTTAATTTTTAAAAATTTATTTATTTAGAGAGAGAAGAAGGGAGAGAGAGAAACATCGATGTGAGAGAGAAACATCGATTGGCTGCCTCCTGCAACCCCCTCCTTGAGATCGAGCCTGCAGCCCGGGCAAGTGCCCTGCTTGGGAATTGAAACGCGACCTCTCAGTCCGTGGGACCATGCTCAGTCCACGGAGCCACATTGCCTGGGCTTCAATCCAATTACTAGTCTTAATTTCAGTTCTATTTTCTTTTCTTTGTTTCTTAATTTTTTTATTTTTAAACATTTTAAATTAAAGTTTACATTCAGTGTTATTTTGTATTAGTTTCAGTTCTACAGCATAGTGGTTAGCCATTCAAATATTTTACAAAGTGATTCCCCTGATATTTCTAATAGCCAGTGGGCATCACACAGTTATTACAATATTAATGACTATATTTCCTACGCTATATTTTACATGCTTGTGCCTATTTTGCAACTACCAATTGGTACTTTTTAATCTCATCATCTTTTTTCTTCCAGTCCCCCCAAATCCTCATCTCTGTCATTCATTAGTCTGTTCTCTGTATCTATAAGTTTGTTTCTATTTTGTTTATTTTGTTCTTTAGATTCCACAGATAAGCAATGTCATATAGTATTTGTTTTCTTTATCAGGCTTATTTTACTTAGCATAATACCCTCTATGTGCATTCACCTTGCTGCAAATGGTATGATTTCATTGTTTTTAATGGCCGAGTAATATTTTATTGTATATAGGTACTACAGCATTTTTATCCACTGTCTATTGACAGGCACTTGGGTTGCCTCCACAGATTGTCTATTGTAAATAATGCTGTAATGAACATACACTGCATATACTCTTTCATATTAGTATTCTGGTTTTCTTTGGATATATACCCTCAGTTGTATTTTCAATGCAAGAATTTTCAATGATGCTTTTATAAGTGGCAGTTCTTTTCTGAAATTCTCCTTCTTTTAGTTTTTAAAATGTAAAATTATTTTAAATTTTATGTCTAATAATTCCATATCTGAGTGTTTTTTTAATTATTAAATCCTAGGCATTGTATTTGAAAAGTAACAGAAATTCTTGTTGCTTTTCCCCAGTGACAGGATTTACTATTGTTTTTGTCTGACCACTGAAATGGTGACCACCTTAATCCAATCAAGGATTGAGATCATTTTAGTCTGGGGAAGGCCTGTTCTATTTATAGTCAATATTTTCTTTTGAAAAGCAGCCTTCAGAGTTCCCGTTGAAAGCAAGTGCATTCATCTGAGCTCGCTCCTTGGCAGGCCCTGCCTTCGCAGCAGTGCAAGACGGCTGGGAAGCACTCTTGTCTGCTTCAATTTCCTACTGATCACTTTCTAACTGGTGTCTTGTACAATCAACCCTATACTGCTTTTGAATGGGCAAAACTCTGAAGGGGAAAATTGGTGCCGAACAACTCATTTATCTGAGTTTTCCTGGATGCTTTCTAGCCCCAAATGCCATTTTTTATCTCTCTAGCTATGTGAAATTGCTAAAAATTCAACTCAGCTTCTCTGCTCCTTAATGACCACTTTTGCTCTGATTCTCACCCTCTCTCTTGGTGCCAACTACCAGTCCATAAATGCCTTGATAGAAAAGAGATGTAGAACACTGGGTTCCCTCATTGTGTTTTCCCATCTTTCAGAATACATATTGGCCTCTCAAGTCTCAGCTGCCCTGATAGTTCTGTTCCTTAAAACAAGACTTATAAAAAAATCATCCACTTTTCACATTGCCCATGGTAGGAGCATTGGTCAAATTTATTGAATAAAATATTCTTCACTTCTTTGGAATCTCACCTTTTTCATATAGTAAGTGATTATTTGTCCTCTGGTTTGTTTCCGAGCTCTTACTTGTCTGACTGTTATCACACCCGCAATCTGCTGATTCTATTATTGAACTTAAATTATTCATGTACTCCCTCATGGTTCAAGTACCCTTTCGATACTCCTGTTCATCAATTTTATCTTGCTGTTCACATCAGGATTTCTTTGCCGACAGTATCAGAAGTGAATGTGATCTGGACTAAAGTGGTACTTGGGATACAGAGCAAGAACAGAGAGGGATATGGAGTCTTGCCATCTATAGTGCATGAGGGATTTGGAGGCTGGAGATGGCATACCCCACAATGCAGGCTTCTGGCTTGGGAATCTAAGAGAATGGTAGTGTCATTACCGAATACCAGGTATATAAGAGAAGCAGAAAGAGAAGATCATCCGTTGAAAAGAGCAGAAGCTGGAATAGCATAGATGATTGTAAAAGATTAGTGATATTTTAAAATGACCTCTTTAGCTGCTAGGATAAAAAGTTGACTTGGCAATATTAAGACAAAAATCATCAAGTAAAGTCCAGTTTGGATTAGGTATCAAATGAAATTTGTTGTGGCACCCATTCTAACAGATGTATGATTTTTAAGGAGCAGTACACAGCAGACTTTTTCATATATTCAACCATGCTTTAGGCTGTAAACAGTGTCTGCAGTCAATTAAGGAGCCTATGCTTGGAAAGAGGGGTGCAGAAGGTGAAGTAATCAAGTTTGGGCGATTTGAAGGCAAAATAATTGCAGTGAGGAAGTAGATGCTACTGGTGAAAAAACTAATGCGATCCCATAAATTCTAGTCTTACAAAGAAAGAAATGAATCCAGTCAGATTGTTGCAAATATCAAACATGGTAATAAGAGCTGAAAGAGTTTTGTAAGTTCTATATCAAAATAAGGTAATATTTTATTGCTAGGTCATTTATGTGAAGGACATGGTGGCGCTGTGATGAGCCCTAACCCTCTCTGTCTGGCTATGCTCTTTGTAGCCCAAAGCTAAACAGTCTCCAGATGGGGAGCCTGCCCAGATGCAGCTTCTTAGCATCTTTCACCTGTAACTCTGCCAGCAGTCTTCCTTTCTTCACCCTTAAAGAGACTTAGAAACCATCACCTTCAGTTGTATACTCAAGTTCTAAAACTTTGTTTTAGCTAAATACAAAGAATAGAGAGGGGGAAATTTTTAAAATTGTTATTATAAGGCTTCTCTTGCACCCTTTGACTTTGCAAATTTTCCACCCTAAATTTGGATCACAGGACTAGAATTGTAGAATTTTAGTCTGGAAAGAAATTGCACAATTTATTTGACTCCTGTGTTTTCTCCATGTAGTAAATGAGATAAATAAGGAAGAGCAAAGACAAGGCTGAAGTTACCTATAAATCAGAAGCAGAGCTAAACCCAGGAAACCCAGGTTTGCTAATGATGGATTTAGATACTTTCACTATAGTGTGGAGATGAGAAAATTTATATTAACTTACTGAATTAATTTACTGTATCACTTTGCATATTGCACCCCCTGCTCTACTCTCCTTTAAGATTCAGCAAAAATTTTAATGTGGAAGAATAAAAACTGGTTTCGATCCTCTCTCTCCAGAGTATCAGATTTCTGAAAATTGCTGACACAAAACACTTTCGGAACCAAATTTAATATAAAAGCACAGAGTATGCAAATAAGGCACAAAACCAAACTTTAGACATGAACTAGAGAGATAAGGAATGAACATGGTGCCTGGTTTAAGATTAGAGTGTAGTCCTGCATTCCAGTTCTTTCCTGGTCAATAAGCAGCTCTGACCCCAAACTGCAGATGCACAGCTGGACCAGCAGCAGACAACCTGGACTAGCCACAGACAACGAGCTACTTATCAAATCTCATTTTTGGGGCAATGTCTGTTTAGACTTGCTCACCCCACCCCCATCCTGTTCTACTTCAGTGTCAGAAGGAAATGAAGCCACAACTAGAACAAAAAGAGCTCTAAAACCTTTTGTTCCCTGTCTCCTCCCACCCTCCTCACTGTTCTCCCCAAATAACTCTACTCTACCCCAGTTGGGCTCTAGTGTGTCATCCCTGCCAGCCTGAGGGAGAAATGATGAGCAGAGTCTGCAACTGCAGGCAGGTGACACCCAGAAGCCACAAGCTTCTGTAAGTACCAGGTCTGCACAAGACGCAAGTCAGAGCAATGGCATTGTCACTTCAAGAATTTGTGCATTCCCTTGACCTCAGGACCCTCCCTAGGGTCCTAGAAATCCAGTCAGGCATCTACTTTGAAGGTAAGCACCCTCCTATCTCTTGGTAGGTTAGAAGTGCTTAGATAGTGTATACTCTTGGGAACTGGAGGAATAAGTTTTAGTAGAACATGTATGAGTTCTGTTTGGAAAGGTGATTGTAAAAGAGAGAAAGTAACTAACTCACCAACAGTCAAGACTCAAGAGTGGTGGAGAGAGAAACTAAATAAGGCCTCTGGGGTGAATAGGGGCAGGGAATTGAATGAAGCTTCTTGAGCTTTTAATAGGCCTCCAAATAGTACAACCTATATGGTGAATTATTTCTGCCTTTTCTTTGAAATTGGTTTTATTATAATGAAAGAGTAAAAAGTTATCCATATTTATGTTTCTAGAATATAAACAATAGAATTTAGTTTTTCTAAAACAAAAGTAACTATTAAAGAACAGTGCTTAGGAAGAAAATTCTACCAAACTTTGAACCACTTCTCAATGTTGCCTATGTCAACACTTCTTATACTTTCTGCAGGGGCCTGATTTCTGATTCTTTAGATAATGACATTTTTATGTATAGAAATGAATGTTTTCTAATGACAAGGTAATTTTAAGAATTTATGTTGAAAAGTCAGAATTCCATTTGGATTATTGATTCATAAATGTGTTTTGATATAACTTACTATGTTAATTCAGCCAAAGAATATGAAAGTCTGGGGATTCTATCTACCCTAGAATTTTTAAGCAGTTAGTCTGAATACATGCAAGAAAAAGGCAAATATATATTTCTGGTCATAATAGTAGAATTGAGGCAGTAATAAAATTAGATATAGAAAAACTACTGGGAAAATAAGTTAAAGAAGTGTTGGTAGGCAAATCTTTCCTGTTCATAGACAAAAGAATGTTTTAGATATTATATTATAAAATAAAACAAGATTGACAAATGTCTGATCCAGTACATACACACACATACACACACACTTATTGGTGCAGGCTACGATCACCTTAATATCAAGTTTTGTTTAATTCATTTGTAAGTTGATAATTGGAATAAATCCACATTTTTCCATGTATACAATATTATGAAATATGCCCTTGTTCATAAATCAGCCTCCAATTTTTTTATGGTTGTCCTATGAAGGCTTTGCATAGAAAGATGATTTTCACTTCTAAATTACAAAGCTTTTTTCTATATTATTTTATATCACATTTTCAATATTATATTTCACATTTAGTCTATAATCTATTTGGAGGACACTTTGCTCTGAGGTGCAGAGGGATCCAATTTTAGTTTTTTTCCATATAATAAACTTGACTTCCCAGTAACATTTACTAAGCTGGCCACCCTTTCCCCATTGATTTGTGTTGCTGCTTTTAAGTTGCTGAATTAATCTGTCTCTGAAATATCACTTCTATTCCATTAGTCTATTTTTTTCAATTATGCCGAAATCATTGTATTTTTGTAACTATGATTCTGAAATAGGTATTAATATGTAGTTCATGTATAGACCAATCCTTGTTTTCGCTCCTTTTTTCAAACTTGACTTATCTATTCATAGACTTTTCAAATGATTTTAAAGATATCAGTTTGTTACTTAAGACATTCAACTAGAGAAGGAGGGGGTGGGATTGGGGAGGAGGGGGTCAATGGGGAAAACAGGGAGACATCTGTAATACTTTAGACAATAAAGATTTTAAAAATTCAACTATAATTTGTACTGGATTGTATTGATTTTGTAGATTAACTTGGGAAGAACTGACATTTTTATATTAAGTTTTACATAAGAACACAGTATGTTTCCCCATATGTTCAGACCCACTTCATCCTTTAATACGTTACTACTATGTTATATGTCAATTAAGAGAACAAAGTATATACTTAGATGAATTTTTACAAAGTAAGCACATTTATGTAACCACCACCCTAGTCAAGAAATAAACAAATTGTAAGTATTCTAGAAATATTGTGCCTTTTCTCAATTATTATCCACCACCCTCCCTGAAAATAATCATTATCATGACTTTTGTCCATTTACAAACTTTATATAGATGGAAAATTATAGGATGTATCCTTCTCTGATTGGCTTATATGCCCAACATCATCTTTTAAAAATTAACCCATGATGTTCATATAGTTTATTCATTTCAGTGTGAATAATATTCCATTGAATGAATATACCACAATTTATGCATTCTACTGCCAACGGACATTTGAATTATTCCTGGTTTGTCATTATGAAAAGAATGCAGTGTCACTATGAAAATTTTTGTGCATGTGTGTTCACTTGTATATGCATTCAGTTGGAGATATATATATATATATATATATATATATATATATATATACACACACACATTTGCCATGTCATGTATATATACAGCCTTGGTGAATCATGAACAACTTTTTCCATAGTAGTTATACCAATTTCCATTCCCACAGCAGTATATGAAAGTTTCAATTAATCTATGTCCCTGGAAATATTTGATGTTATCAGTCTTCATAATTTTAGTCATTCTGGAGTATAGTGGTTGTAGTTTGCATCTCCTGGCCACTAAAAAGTATGAGCACCTTTTCATATGTGTCCTGGCCTTTTGAAGATGTTGTTTTATAAAAACATTGTTCATGTCTCCTGCCCATTTCTCTATTGGATTTTATAAACTTTTAAAATTGATTGAAATATATATATATATATGGATTCCTGATCCTTAGTTACCTGTATTGCAAATTTCCATCTCAGTCTATAGCTTGTTATTTCATTTTTTAAATGGTGTCTTTTGATGGAAGTCTTAATTTTAGTGGTAGTGTACTCATTTTATAATTGCTTTCTTTGCTACGTGTTGTCAAATTTTCATTACCCTGGGTGCATGAAGACATATGCTCTTTTTTTAAGTTTCTAATTTCTTTTTTTTTTCAATTAGAGTGTACATGCAATATCATTTTGTATTAGTTTTATGTATACAGCATAGTGGTTAAACAATAATATACATTACATAGTAGTTCCCCCCAATATTTAAGTATGCACCTGGTATTGTGCATAGTTACGGTATTATTCATTACATTTCGTATTGCTGTACTGTGCATTCCTATTTTGTTACTAGTTTGTGCTTCTCAATCCTTGCACCTTTTCACCCAGTTTCCTAACCCTCCTCCCCTCTGGCAGTTATCAGTCTGATCTTTGTATCTATGAGTCTGTTTCTATTTTGTTTTTTGTTTTGCTTTTTTCCTTTATTTTGTTCTTTAGATTCCACATATAAGCAAAATCATATTGTATTTGTCTTTCTCAGTCTGTCTTATTTCACTTAGCATAGTGCCGTCTAGATCCATCCATGCTGTTGCAAATGGTAAGATTTTATTCTTTTACTATGGCCACAGTTGTGTTGCCTCCATACCTTGGTTTTGTAAATAACGCTGCAATGGACATAGGGGTGCGTATAGTCTTTCGAATTAGTACTTTGGATTTCTTCAGATATATTGCAAGAAGTGGAATCGCTGAGTCATCAGGCAGTTCCATTGTTCATTCTTTGAGGAACCTCCATACTGTTTTTCACAGGGTTGCACCAATATGCATTCCCAACCTTGCCCAACATTTGTTGTTTGTTGGTTTATTACAGCTATTCTGACAGGTATGAGGTGGTCTCTCATCGTGGTTTTAATTAGCATTTCTCTGATGATTAGTGATATTGAACATCTTTTCATATGTCTGTTGACCATCTGTATGTCCTTTTTGGAGAAGTGTCTATTTAGGGCCTCCCGCATTTTTAAATTGGATTGTTAGTTTTTCTGGTGTTGAATTGCGTAAGTTCTTTATAAATCTTAGATGTTAACCCTTTATCAGATGTATTGTTGGCAAATAACTTTTTACATTCAGTATGTTGCCTTTTTGTTTTGTTGATGGTTTCCTCTGCTGCAAAAACGTTTTAGTTAGATATAGTCTCATTTGTTCAATTTGAAAATATTATTTTATATTATCTTTTAGAGATTATATTTATTTATTCTCTTTTTAACCTCTACAATCTACATAGAACTGACTATTTTGTATATTATTTGAGGTTGGGATCAATGTTTATTTTTTCTTCTATGGAGCCAATTGTTACAGTGATTTTTATTGAAAAACCGCTTTTTTCCTTCTCTGTTAATGTTATGTTAAACAGTATTAATATATGCCTGGATTTCTTTCCATAGCTTTTATTCTGTTCCATTCATGTAATTGCTGTTCTTATACCGATTTCACCCTGTCTTAATTCATGTAGGTTTGCATCAATGTTTCTCTCTCTCTCTCCCTCTTTCTCCTTCCCTCTCACTCTATCTGAAGATAAATGGAAAAAATATTCTTGGGTGAGGATTAAAAAAGAAAAAAAAAACTAATAAGATGCAAATAGAGCAATAAATCACTCATTCATGTTTTAGGTCGCCGATCTTAGAAAGATTCACAAAGCACAACGTAGGCCTGAATGCATTAAAATGTGAAGCACACGTTGTTGGGTATGTAAACTATTACAGACTTTCTAGGAATCATTTAGGCAATATGCCTCAACATTTAACATGTGCACAAACATATGACCTCTACAAGTTAACTTAAAATATAATTACAAAAAACAAAAATAATGATTATACAAGAATGATCATAGCAGCATGTTTTATACACAAACATCAAGTGAATCTCAGCAAGAAATAGCTTATATAAAGTACAATAATACATTATCAAGCAGTGTTTCAAGGGGCTAGAATTCAGGTGAGGGAAGAAAGCAAAGCCCTTACCTCATTGGAGCTTACATTCTGGTGAAGAGAACAAATGAAAAATTTAAAATATATGCAAGTATCATGAAGAACTAAATAGATATTGAAGCAAGGAGGAGGGAAGAGGTGACCTTCTGAAAGAGTGACTAGGGCAGCTATCTGATAAGACGGAATTTGAGCAGGGCCAGAATAAACTGAGGAAATGAACTTTGCACATATCTGGAAGAAGAACATTCTTCCTGAGGGCAGAACAAGTGCAACCACATTCTTCATCTAATTAAGAAACCGGGAGGAGGCCAGTGGGGATGAAGCATTC